TTTATGACCCTTCACGAAAAATTCGAATTTTGACTAATTTTCTTCTGTTGCTCCTATCTACGCAGTACATGCTCAAGAGAAAGCCTATAAGGTACCTCTGTAAAGAGAATGAATTGCTCTTTCAGATAAAAATGAAAACATGCCAATTGGCTGGAAGAACCGAGAGTTATGAATTTTTGAAAATGGTGCGAAAGAACTTTCGAGCCAATCTAATAGATAATTTACATTGTAATTATTTAGACTTACATATTACAATCATTAATGACAAAATCATAACCAAAATGTATAACAAAACTGATATTTTCCCTTTTCAAGTAAAAAGATTCATAGACATTAGTACTGGTGTATCCAATCACATCAAAAACGCAATTGTTTACATAGAAAGTTTAAGAATTGCCCGTACTTGCACTTATCTTGATGATTTTATCAAAAAAAATAATACAGTTACAAAATTTACTTATTTCCAATGGATACAATGAAAGTAAGATTTACTCAAATATTTTTAAATGCTTACATAAAAATAATTTTATACCATATAAATACAAATTTTACAATTATGATAAAATTAAAAAATTATTACACATTCTACATCATAATCTACACAAATTATAGTTAATTGATATATGTCGTACACCAGTCTATAACTATACAAAATCATTCGATCCTAATCAATATTACATTTTTTCAATCAGTATAGTTATTTAAATATACATCTACTACAAACAACCAATTCAGTAAAGTAGTGCATCAAAATGACTGATGTCATAATAAATAAATTCAACTACAAAAACACTAGCATGTTTCATTTTATTCTTTCATTTACCACTATGGTCACTACTATACTTTATAATATATAATCAACATAAATGATATATCGTATATCACTAATGTAATAAAATATATATATAATAGAAGACGGAGGATAAAAAGTGTAAGTTGTCAAACTTCAACTACAACAATTTTGAAAAAAAAAACCTTTATCTTAAAACTATTTCAAAATATACACAGGACTCATGAACTCTCTTTCCTTACTGAGGAGTTCCGGGGAGAGTTCTGAGCTCCTTTACTCCGTCTAAGGGAAGGAACGAAACGGAGTATTCCAAAAAACCTTTTTCTTTTATTTCATTGCGCTAATTCGATCAAAATTTGTTTGAATATTCGAAATAATCGATGCAATATATTCGTTTATTGTAATTTTTTCAAATATATTCAAGTATTCAGGTTTTTTTCATTTCGAATATATTCGATATTTGATTATTCGACAATTTTCTTATTTCGAAAATATTTGATACTCGATTATTCGACATTTTTGTTTTTCGAAAATATTCGATATTCGAATATTCGACGTTTTTTGTTTTTGAAAATATTCGAAATTCGATTATTCAATATTTTTGATTTTCGAATATATTCGGTTATTTGATTATTCTAAAAAAAATTCAATATTCCAAATAGTAGACAGTGAGAAGAGCCTTAAGGAGCAGATGAATCAGGTGTTACCTTTTGCATCTGGTCATAGAAGCAGCCATCACCACGAGATTGTGGATATTAGAAGCGATACAGGAAGAAAGGGCAATATCTGTGCTGAGGTTTGCGACAGAACGTGAACACAAGACATCTAAGTAGTAAGTAACTATACAACAAAGAAGGATTGATCGAAGTGGTGTTTTCAAATGTGGTTTACTCTATAATTGAATAGCGGTCATCCATCATTTAAAGCACTGTCCATATCACAAAGTAAGACTTTTTCAATCCTCGAGGTCCTTATCATGAAATGACATGTATGATTCGCTGTTCGTTACTTGAACCTGTTGTAATAATCACACTTTTGGCATTTAGTAGCTATCCGATCAATTTATTAAGTAGCCCCTCAAGTCATTTTCCTTTTGTCTAACGAGCACATCTGTTGGAATCAAGAGTGGTCCACCACCCAGTAAACCCAAGTACATCCTGCTCGCATGTACTTGGGTGTCGAGTACCTCGATTAGGCGCCCCTCCAAGGGCTGGTGGTCATAACAAGCAGGCACTATTATGTGCACTAGCAAGAAGTCTGTAGAGGCGACTCCTAATCAAGCTAAAGTTGAACTGCAAGACAATGAAGTCACTCGACCAAAGGTTCGTTCGAGCGCAGGGCTACGGTCAATGTGGACATCATGTGAGTTTCAAGCAGCTTTGCTTAAAATGATTTGGTCATCGCCCAGCAGTTGACTATATACGTCTCCCATGCCAATTTTCATCCTCTTTGTAAAAATTAAGTTTTCAACTCGCGATCTTCTAACGCTTTGAGAAAGTGCTGTGTTCATCTGACTGCTACTGCTATTTCAAAAGTCTCGTTAAAGTCTTTCGAATGGGTTGAATGGCGCGCAAATAGAGCAATAACAGTGTATGCTTCTTTTTGGGCTTACTGGCAAGCATTTTATTTTTCAAATTTTTCATCCCTTGCTTTTTTAGCACACAGCCAGGTAACGGTTGCACCGTAAACCTCAGAAGAACTTAAATGCTGCGAAATGGCCGTTATCACTGGAGCGCGTTTTCGACTTGGGACTTGAGTTTCGCTCACATTTTGAATACGATGGAGATTTTCGCTTACATTTCGAATACGACGGGCTGTAGAAGGCTAGCATAGTGGGGATTATTGACATGCTGAACGAAAAGGATAATTATTCGCAAAAAGGGCCTTTCTGGAAAGGTTACTGAGATATATGGTAGCTTTCGTTAGGGAGGAGGGAAGGTACTCCAACATGCTGTCCTCGACTTTAACATCGACATGCATTCAAAGAGTGACTTTGCTCAATTGGAAAGCGCATACATAAGCCCAACGCACAAAGGTGTTATTTTAGGGGTATCAGATTTGAAAAAAACCGTATCGCGAGAAGTTGACATGATACTCGTATTCAATTCGTCAGATAGTTGCCTATAGGCCAAACTTCACAGGAGGGTATACCCTCTTGTGAAGTTTCACCGAATTTCTGAGCTTATAGATTTCTGGGCTGTATAAAGTAGAGCTGTATAAAGTAGAACAGTGCCCATCTTCTTTCAGAGTCATGTCTCCTAAACGCTTCCTCGTCTAGTGATGGTACCATTCACCATATATCATTGTCTGTGTACAAATACTAGAAGGATCATCGAACGAATGTTTACTCCTTAACTTCTATTATTCAATTCGAAAACGAACGGACAACAATTGAAAGTAGATAGAAATTCAATACGTCCTAGAATATGAAGGGCATGAAACATTCTTGATCTAGAACACCTCGTAGCATAGCAAGTCAATGTCCATAAACATGATGAGTACGTTCGACCTATAAAAACGAGCAACTCAGCCTAATAGATCATGCCAGTGTGGCGCCTTGAAGAGATGATGACCAAGCGTTTGATATAAAGTGAAAAAATTAAAAGTAGAAAAAATTAAGAATTAACAAGTGAAGAGATTGAAATGATCAACAATCCTTGGGTCGCATCTTTTACAGTGCTTGTGAAGTGCTGCGGCTTAAATTTCTATGTATTTGCAATTCTTTTCAATGCACGAAAAGTAAGCTAGATCTGGCTCAAATCGCCTCCATTCCTTTCAGCATGATCGCCTCCGTTCATTTTATGCCTAAAGGATTGAGCTGAGAGAGCTAGGATATCTTTGTAACAGAGACCCAACACTGCGGTGCGTCCAGCAGCATTTGTTTTAACCATCAAAGACTGCGGCTATATGCTGTATTCACTCGTTGATGGGAAACTAGGAAGAAAAAGCGCTGAACGAAAGATACTCTAATAAAGATAAACACAAAGTTTTGAAGATGAAGGGAGAACAAAGACAAACTGGGCGCTGTTCCATATCAGGGCCCCTCCAAGAAGTATATTTCGCCCAAACTCAGTCCATAGAGGTCATCGCCTACTGACCACGAATATCGCACTCTTTTTTGCACAACATCATCAGTTTCGGTGGTTACGATGGGAACGCTGGGGCTCAAAACTACATCTGGCTAATTCTGTTTGGGAGGGTTGTTCGACATTATCATGGATACGCACGTTTTCTGCTTAACCACGTCATCCTTGGTGGTGAGGGTAGCTTTATCGTAAGCAATAAAGTCAGAAACTTGGACAAAACAACAACGACAAAGTTTTGAACAAAAATTCCGGAATATCGAGGTTTGATTACAATCGAGTTTCAGGGGTGATAAGCCGAAATTCGGTTTCGAGTACATTCAACTTGATTTTTTTTAACAACGTTGTTTTGCAAAAAGGATAAAACAAGTCTAGCATGTGAGAATGGTGGTTAGGTGATGTAGAATCGAAAGTGAGTCGAGAACACGAACTTCTGATTGAGCCTCCCATCGTACATCCATCGTAGACATCCAATGACGTTTTCAAAGCATAATGTTTCGACCAGCATGGTCAGCACTCCCGATAAACTGAGCAAGAGCGCCGAGAACTGGCCATGTCTTACCACTTTCTCGACAAAAAGACAAATGAATATACCAGTAGCCTCTGATGCTCTCGTGCAGCTCGTTTTTTTCCACGTTTAGTCGATCCGACAGAGGAACGCCACTTCCACCGGACATTTTTCCACAAGAATTGCACTCTGGAAAGTGAACAATATGAAACAATTACAGAATGACAAATAACGAGCAAAACCGAGGCAGTAAAGAACATCTAAAAGGAGAAAGGTCCACGATTCATGCAAGAAAGAAACACATGCTACGAAACTGGAGCACAACGCTAAGTTCTGAGATAAAAACGCGCTCCAATGATAACGGCCATTTCGCAGCATTTAAGTTCTTCTATAAACCTCAAAAAACTATATCTTTGGAAGCGAATAAAGCTTGTCAATGTTTCATAATCAGAGTCCAACAATAATCAAGCATTAAATGCGACAAAGCAAGACTATTAATCTTTTATAACAGTTGTCATACTTTTGAAAAACGAATCAGCAAAAGCGTTGAGAGTTGATAGAGAGAATTTGGAAAAAGTTTTGTGCCTTATCGCTTTCGCTCTAACCATTTACGACTTACAAGGAAAGGCTCGACAAATCTCCTTAGTCGAAATGGCCTTTTCAAAAGAGTTTTACGCTGCATGTTACCGTACATTTTTGAAGCACATTGGACGTTGATCATACATGTGTCTTTCTTACCTGCTGAATTCCTCTGGTTGAAGAGTTATGAGAGCTTTGTAGCGAGATTTTGAACGCGTGATAGAAGAAAATCATTTAAAGAAATCTATCATGAGCTCAAATGGAGTATTAGCAGTACCAAATTTCTTTTTGAAATTTAACGCTACTAATACTCCATTTGAAAAGCAGCCAGTTTCCGCTTGCTAGCCTGTGCTCGCCATTATTCCATCTGCAAGTTGAAAAGGCTGTCACTATGATATTACTTTGATTAGGCATTCAGTTTTTTGACCCATAAAACGTTCACAACTCCTCATTCAAAGGCGCTCCGCGGATAAAGGAGACATAGTTGAGATCCTTTGATGCCTTTAAAGATTACATGCATCTCAACTGAAGAGGCCACTTGGACTAAGATCTTTCATCTGCTGGACTCCCTTGCAGGCTGATATAAAAGTCTAAAAAAGCAAACATGACCATAGCAAGAAACCATGGTTTGCAGATATCAGTCATTTTATACAAGCCCGTCACAAAAATAGCAAATGGACATCAGTTCGCCTTTGCCACTGTCGATTTTTACGATTACCCGCTTGATTTCCCCGCCAGCTGCCTAAGTTGTTCATTGGAGCGCGCTTTCCTCCTCAAAAGGACCGACGTCGTGCTTCCCGGATCCTAACAAGAAGGAGTGGAGGAGTTTTAGAACCAAAATTTTACTATATACTAATTAGTTAAGAAAAGATTTATGTAAGATTTTTGAAAAACTCATGTGAAATGGAAGTTTTGCCTTCCTTAGGTGGGCATTAGGTGAACCATTACCCACCTAAATTGAGTGCCTAATTGAATAAAGAGAGTGCCTAATTTGAAAAAAATTTAGGCACTCTCTTTATTCACATTAGTTTTTCATAATTTTTCATTCTTTGTTCCTCAGTGCAACTGCATTACAATCAGCAATTGTCTTGTCATATGGTCATCTGTACGTTGCAAATGAGCCATTTTGTCATTCTGTGGTAGTGGAAATCTGAAAAAAGCTTGTCACAGCCTTCAGCCATAATATTTCCAGAATACCCTGCACTATGCTCCTCCTAGTCCATGCCGTTAATACTCCAAATTCTTAGTCATGCCATCATGTGTGCACTATAGCCGAGACAACTGATTACGACTCATCAACAAAAAAATTTCGATTTTTGAAGATTACAGGGCGAGCAAGATTGTGTTTTTGCATGTAGTCGTGTAGCAATTGTCGAGAGAGTGTATGATGTTAACGTATATTTCACGATATCCCCTTTAATTTTCATCTAAAACGATTTCAGCATGACATTTGTCCACCTCGTGCCGGGCTCTGATTTTCTAACATTTTATTTGTTATGCTGTAAAAAACCAAACATTTTAGAGAGTTTGAAAAGCTGTAAAAATACGACAGAGATCTTATACATGCCTTCGTTCTGCGAATTTTCTTCTTCGTCCTGAATGCTCTACGAGGGTGCTGTGAGTGTGTTGTTGATTGAGTGCCAGCAGAACTTAGTAAAGCAGCAGTACAGCGTGTACCTCAAACTTAGGTAATTAAACTTTATTATAAATGTAACTAACAACTACAAAGCGAGTACGATGATCAAACACAATTAGTATGTTAAATACAGAGTGTCCCAAAAAGATTTGCACACTGTTTGATGATTAATAACTGCTTCCATGTCTATTGCAGAGCTTGAAGTGCCATTCTGTAGAGCGAGGTTCAACTTAGATTTATAGCATGGGAAGAATCACCAGTCACTCTTCATTACTGTAGGATTACGGTGTGAACTTTGAGGAGGAATAAGCCATTAAAAGAGGTATTTGCCGTAGAAAGATAAGAACAAGCCAGAAACTCTTAAACTGGGCTAATCGAAGTCGCTGATACTAAATATGAAACTTGCACTCCACTATAGGGATTGTATTGTAAAGACAATTTTGTCCACAACATATTAGGGTGATCCAAAAGTAACGGGGCACTCGATTTTTTTAACATTCTTCAAATCTCTTTCTAATTATCTATGAATAACAGCAATTTGAACGTTCTTGTATAGAGTGACCTTCGCAAGTCATCTTGACAGCACCTTGCAGCACCTCACCGACATTCCTTCAAGCGGCGCTTCAAAGAAGTCAGACAGACTTTTTTGAACGCCATCCGAATTTGTGCTGCTGCACCTGAATCCCTTAACATATGCCATACCATTCGAAAGGGTTTTCCAAGCCTTTCTAATGATTACTTGAATATTCAAAAATTGCCCATTATTTCATACAAAAAAGGCACTTTATTCGAAAAAGTGCGGTGTTGGCAGATTTTCAAACCAAAATTCATGTTTTGGCCCATAATTTCTTGAAAATGAGAGAAATCGAACTATTAGGTCGTTCCGAAAGTAATGTCGCTTTTTTCAAACGAACGCCACATCTCGAGTAACAAAGATGTGTAAGAGGTTCTGGTAGCATTTGATGCAGCACTTCATTCTCTTTCTAACGGTTACATAACCACTGCACAAGATGCAATAACCTCCCAAAAAATTATCAAAATCTGCGACCCATGCTTTTTGAGAAGGCCAAGTTTCACAATTTTTCTGAATTTTTACAACAACCCTCGGAAGGAGTCCAAGTAGTAGATGGATAGAGCAATCCTTACGAAAAACAGCACAACTTTTTTCTACTTTCCGGAGCTCGTCATAATTTTTGTATCGATTTTTTTGGTAGGACCATCAAATTTTAGCGGGCTAGCTTTAGACACAAATGCATCAAACACCAATAAATCTTCGGATTTTGAAACTTACAAAGATGGATTATGGTTTAACACTAATTTTACAAACCAAATGAGCGTTCACCGCTTCAGGTTAGCAACTTTCGAAAATTCCGGGTACAGCCGGGGCGCCCTGGAAATCATTATGACGATTTTATCTCGAAAAACTCGATGAATCGGAAACAAAAAACAACTGGTAGAAAGAGGAGAAAAAGCTGCGTCGAATGACACCCGAGCCGCTTGCCGGTTGTTGTTCTGTGAAGTTTGAGTTGACCAAATATGAAATTGATGGAATTGAAAAATTGGTTTCAGAAACTCTGAGAAACAAGGTAAGGAAAAGGAAAAAATCAATCAGTGTCCTATAGGGTTTGCTCTGTCTTCCTGTCACTTGCACTTCTTCGGAAAACAGGTACAAAAATCTAGAAAAATAGCCGAACTTGACCATGGCAAAAAGCATGAGTTTTGGTTTTGGTAATTTTTCGAGATTTTATTAGATATTATGCGCTGAAATTGCAACCATTAGAAAGAGGATGAAATGCTGCATCGAATGCTTCTAAGATCTCTTGAAGATCTTGATTCCCTGAAGTGTGGCGTTCATTTGAAAAAAGCGACATTACTTTCGGAACGACCTAATATTAGGGTGTCCCATAATTATTTACCGTTTTTACCTTAAACATCAAAATTTCTCGAGAACTGGGGCACCTCCAAAATTTTCAAATACATGGTCGTACTTCTGTATGCATGAACTACATGATCACGTGTGTGTGAGGAGCTCGGGACTTCTAGGGGCGGAGTTTGCCATTTTACTCCATTTAATTTTTTCTTTATTTTTAGCCGTGGAAAAAGTACGAAAATGGTATAATTGAATGTTCGATGTGTCAAGCACATGCTAGGTTGAATAAGGAATTTTCTAGATTTTTTGGGACGCAGATATGATTTTTGACAGTAAAATTCGTTTTTGACTGCTACCATATTTCAGCTCAACACATTACGTAGATTACGATTTGTGCAGAATCTTGATAGCCATCTCGTAGAGCTTGCTTTGCCCTATCGAATGGTTACTCAAGCCGCATCAATCGGAGGAAAGATACAAAAAGACGACCGTCGAAGAGCAAAAACGGTAAATAATTATGGGACATCCTAATAATTTGCATATGTATGGATAGAGCGTGAAAAGCACTATCAGAAGCAACTGTTAAGGTTGAGCTTATTCGATTACCTTAATGAAAAAATAAGTAATATGTCTCCTGATACCCAATGCTATATCTTCTGTTCTAAAGGCTTGGGACCACCGAGCTATCGTGGATTTGATGACAGTCCCCTCACCCATTGCTGCGCAGATCTTTGGTAGGCTCACTTGCTCTACTGCGGCGCTGCTGCTCGGAGTTCAAAATTACTGAAAGTGATGAGCTTCATTCTCAAACACTTATAAAAATAACGCCACGTGACAGTGCCCAACTATAGACCTCGTTCAGAAGGTTTTGTTATGTACTAACATCTGTCAAAACTTAGACTTCCAGTTAGCTTTTCTATTTGAGAAAAGCATCTGCATTCATTCTCTAGGTGCCCCATTGCTTTTGGATCACCCTAATATATCTGTTTTGCTGGCCTTTCAGCACCTCACTGCGGTCCACCAGCATGCGCAGAAGGGAAAAAGGTCGTTGCGAAAAGTGGCCTATTTGTGCAGGATTATCTTAGGCACAATGAAAGCTGGAAAGCTCAGATGCTGTAGTTATATGAAAGTCTGCTGGGGCTGTTATGGAGACTATTTAAGCCTTTAAGCGACCAGATGAAGAAAAGTTTTTCCAAAAAGTGGAAAACCTATTATTCTTTGCCCCAAAAATGCACCATTTTTCGAGTAAGTAACTTTGAAGTCTTTTCATTCTGCGTAGGGTGGATCAAATCTTTGATTACTGCGAACATTGTTGAGGTAATGCCTTACACATCGTTTGGACCCATCGTCTAGGCGTGGCGATCCTCGCAGAAGCGACCCCAGTTGCGAAAAGAGTTGCAGTCAGAGGCAAGTTCGACAGCTTGTAATTTCTGAGCGCAAATCGCAAAACTCGAGTGCAGCTGAGAGTCAGAAGTTAACAAGCTTTTCAATCAGATCATCCACGATTTGGATGAAATTCTTTTAACTGCACAAAAAATGGCCGTAAGAAGAAAAATTGTAAAATTTTTATGGTTGGAAAGATTTTTCTTCTTGATGTGCAGATCAAACA